TGATTTTATCCGACTACACAGACCAATGAACACAGCAGCAGTCTCAGAACCTGCCAGAAGGGGTGTCGAAATATGCACCCTCTACCCTAGGCGCTTATTCTCCAAGTATAGAAAGAGACGGATCATTTTTTAAGTAAATTAGGGTTCAAATTAGGTTTCCAGATAATATGCAAATTCATATCACAATTTTCCCGTACTCCCCTACCCTGTCTCATATGTCCCTCTATCCAATACCCAACATTAAATTTTTGCCCAAAACAATCTCTTTTAAAAAATCTGAATATGTTTATAGCATTGGAATCACAATTGCCAGCATTATATTAACATGTGACATCGCCAGAGCTTCGCTGTGATGCTTCAATAAAATGAGACTCGAGTGCTGTCTTTACATAAAAAAAAATTAAGATGCACTTTTACAATCTTAGTGAAGATGGATGAAATCAATATTTTTAACTGAAAAAAGAAACACTAAAGCTTCTTAGGAAACTGAACAAAACCAGATCTACAGTTACAGCTCTGTTTCTAAGATCTAGACTATCTTAAATTCCTGGAGACAAAAGCTCATAAAATAAACTTAAATCGATATATCAGTTTTCCATTGGTCAGAAAGATTTCATTTGCACAGAGAAATTACTAACAATGTGAATTCTGAATGAAGTAAAAAAAAAGAAAAATGCATGTCATTTCAGGCTTGTTCAGATTGCACACACAATAATGAGGCCATTTATGCATATACGACACTTACAATACGGCTAGTGCTGGTGTGTGCCTGGAACGTTGCCCGCCCATGATCTCTCTCTGATGAGAGGATATAGCTTTGATCTGGAAAAATAAGAAGAAAAAAAAAGAGAAATACATTGTGATCATATGGATTTAATAAAGAAATTAATTCATTTGAAATCAAAATCAAAACCAGGGGAAAAATCAGCAAAAAATCATACTTATTGGACAAATAAATCAAGACTAGAGCTAGTCCTTAACTAAAAGTACCCCCCCCCCCCCTCCCCCTAAAAAAAACACGTACCCCAAAAAAACAAGGAGAAATGACAGGTTTCAATAGTGCCATTAAGATTATACTGCCTTTTCCTCGCAGTTAATTGTAACCCATTTCTCTGGCACATATACTTGGCCTATCAATCAAAGTTTTAGCATACTAATCATGGAACTCTACTCCAAGTTTAATAGATAGATTCTAGATATCTTGAAACATCGACATTTAGAAGTACCTTTGTATATATCAAGTCTAAAAGGTTTACACTATAACTTTAAATTTGATCAGAAAGTGAGAACCAGGGTTCGAAGTGCTAACAAATATAAACTTACCATACAAATAATCATGGGTACGGGACGCATTCGGCAGGGGCCTTCTTATAGTTTGTGTTGTACTAGCCATTGTGTTCTATATCACTGGCAATTGATTCCTACGATGTAAGTTAGCTTGTTTCAAATAATTGTCCTTTCGTTGTCAACCAATGTCCACCATTTTGCTTCAAAAACCAATATGGCGGATGTTGTTAGTTACTATGACCACAGCAAAAAGTAGGAAGATTGTGAAACGGAACATCTTAGTTTTATAGTCTCTGGTTTTATTTTTAAAATCAAACTAAAAATAACAGGATTTTTCAATCCATCTCTACTAATAATGCACGTTTTATTCAATTTTTCAGCTAAAATAGCGTTATTTTATACTCAATGTTGTGTTTCAAGCAACCTGACACTAGTATCAGTGACCGTAAATACCGGAAAAGAATAATTATTATGAATTAAATGTAGGCAAGGGAAGTCGCTCTTACAATTTTAAGGAGAATAATGCATCATATCTGAGTTACATCCCCTAGATGGTGCACTTTGTGTGTGTGTGTGTGTGAGAGAGAGAGAGAGAGAGAGAGAGAGAGAGA